GGTGGTCCGCCATCGTCGACGGCGGTAGGGCCGAGCCTCACTACCTCCATCTTCGACACCCATCTTGGTCTCGCATCCTTCAGCTGGTCCCGAACCCTCCTCGGCCTCTTCCTCCGAGCTAACCTCCACCTCTCCCCCACCTCTTCTCTAGACGATGAAAACGATAATGACGACAACGCCTTCTTCTTCCAAATCCGCCCCTGGTTTTTCTGGAAGCGAAAGGGCACTCGCCGGTTCCACCTCCATGAGCATCTCGCCCACCGTATCGTCGATGTTGCTTGGGATCTCACACGCGCCAGGTTCCCTTCCACCGGCGGCCCTGAACCCTCCTCCAATTTCTACGTTTCTGTTGCAGTCGATGGGGAGATGATACTCCTCATCGGTGACATGGAAGAGGAGGCTCACCGGAAAATGAAGGCGACGAGGCGAACGCCTGCAATTCCGATTTCGAAAAGGGAGCACGTGTTATTAAAACCGGATGCAAGTGCCGGCGGTAGAAGATCGTACCGTACATCAGCTAGGGTTTCAGGAAGGGAACGCGAAATAACCATTGAGATCGGAGGGATGGATAAGGATTCATCGGGGATGTGCGTCTGTTTGGACGGGATGAAGGTTCTCCATGTAAAGCGTCTCCGATGGAAGTTCAGGGGAAGAGAGCGGGTCGAGATCGACGGAATCGGAAGGATCCAGATATCATGGGATCTACACAGCTGGCTATTTTCATCGAAGGAAGGCACTACCTCCGCCTCACTCGCCGGAGCCGCCGCCGCCGCCGGCGAGATCGGTCAGGCCGTATTTTTCTTCAGGTCATTTTCATATTATTTATATTATTAATTTTGGCTCTTCTATTATAAATAATTGGGGCAATATCTCTTATAAATAATTGGGACAATAAAGCTCTTCCCCTACTCAGTTTCCACATTTTTTCCCCATTGGAGCCCCTCACTATTGGAATGCCGCCCCGTGCCATAGCCTACCCTCCATTAGAGTCGATCCAATAAAAGATATAGTTCCATAGCATCTTCAACCATCTCTTGGACGCCTAAAGACTCCTCACCAGAAGTCAAGGATTAACATCTAGCTAGATCAACAAGTCGATCTGCGCCGATCAAGCTCAAATGACTAAGCTGACCCTACCGACTTGAAGTTAATTAAGATTAGTCGGCTAAGATAGAAAGTAGCTAGACGATAAGCCCATAAATGTAAAATATCATAAATACCCTAGTACGGTCCCCTTTTGATGCAGTGGCAAAAATATAATATCATCATTGTACTCTCTCTTTTTTAAATAGGAGAATCATTTTATGAATAATACATGATAGATTATTATTCATTATTGTTCACTCTTCTATTTTTGTCTCTCTTTCACTCTATACTTAACACTATTTCTTGGGTGTGTCACAGAAAAATCGTGATTCAACATCCTATAGTTGTGAATCATGCTACAAGCAAGAAGAGGAGTAACCCAAGGAGTAGAAACAAATAACAGAGACACTGACATCATGTACTGCACCCGAGAATTTGTGACCAGACAAATTTAGGAGTTGAAGGATCAAATTTTGGATGTCATCTGAGGCGCGCTGACACAGAAGAGAGATAATTAGCTTTGGGATGAAGGGCCAGTGCCCAATGGCAAAAGAGTTTCCCCGGCCTTGGAGAGGGAAGGCAACTTCCAATACTTTGATAGTGGTGGGTCAACACCAATCAACCGACATTGATTCGAGTGTAATGAAGCTCCTAGTCAGCCCAAAAATGCGTTCTCGTTGCAAATCTCTGATGTGAACCCGCATAATGATTCAAGTGCAATGAAGCTCCTAGTCAGCCCAAAAAAGGGTTCTCGTTGCAAATCTCCGATGCGAACCTGCATAATGATTCAAGTTTCCATCATTGGAGTCTTACAAGGCACAAATCAATCTGACTAAACACATTGCCTTGTTTAAATCAATTGTGTTTGCTAAAAATCACGACACACTAAAGTGTCATCTTTTTTTTTTTACCACGTTGAAGGTGTTAGGTGTGGAGATGGTTAAAAGAAAAAAAAAATTAAAACCCCGCACGTATTTCTTCCGCTCCCAATCCCGACTCCCGTCTTCTGCTCCCATTTTCGCGAAACAAAAAAAAAATGCTCCCATTTTTGCGATCTCCCGCTCCTGTTGGTTCGCGATCTCTCGCTTCCGTCTCCTTTATGCGAGAACAGAAACTCTCGCCTCCTTCATTTCGTGGAAGCAGGAAAGGAGACTTCCTACGTGGATTGCTTGGGTTCTTGTTGAGGCTTACGAAAAGCAGAAGGCAGAAAAATGTGTTTTCGCAAGGTACTCTTTTTTAGTTGATTTTGCGTGCTTAGAAGGAAGAAGGTGTTCTTGATTTCTTCTTGGTGGCTTGCGCAAGAAGAGAAACAAATTTTTCTCTTGTACATATTTCTTCTTCTCTTGTACATATTTCTTCTTCTTCGGTGTATCTCGGTATAGAGAGAGAAGAGTGAAGAAGTGAAATGAAGAATTCACTCTTGTAATTGGAGACGATCAACTAGTGTAATTTCCTCAATTAGTAAAATCTTATGCAACTCCATGGATGTAGGCAATTTGCCGAACCACGTAAATCTGTGTATTTTTTTTCTGATGTGATTTTTTCTCGTTCTATTTTTCATTTCATCGTCGATCGTTTTAAATTTCATATATGCCACAACAAAAGGAGTTGACCTCTCATGCGATCCAATGGAATACCTCCAAAGGGAGTAATTATATCATTTATTAATTTTAAGCAGATGTTTGTGGTGCAATTTGTGAGTGTCTAGAAGCCTCTGAATAACTCATAGCCCTTCCAACAGATATGCCAGAAATAAAGATAGTGCCTGGACTTATTCGTCACTCACTTCTAAAAGGAGATGATGGAAATGAGATACCTGGAACTTGCGGTCACCCATGTCAATCTAACCCAAGGGCTAAAGGAGGGACCCTTTTGCTCTGCACTGGATTTTCTATATGATTGACATTCTCAACATATTTGAGTTTGTGCAATCAACCATGCAAAAAGATGTCGTTCAAGCGATTTCAGTGTCCATCAAAACACTTAAAAGATCAATCTTGAATCCAAACGACTTCATTTAGTGGCACATATTGGGCAATTTTAACATTTCGTACTTACTATTGAAATTCATCCTATAAATAAGCAACATTATAGTGGCTTCAAACATGATCAAAATACGTTGACCTCAATTTACGTGACATTTCATCCATCCCATGTTGCTATTAGCGCATTCAATTGGTTCAAATATAGTCTTTGCGTGTGCATAAATTAACCTCAATAAAACAAAAGGCCACTTAATTTTTTTCATTCCGTCTTTAACTAATAATTCAAGAGAAATTTATTTCATATCACACAATGCTCACATAGTTTAAATCTCTATCGGCTAAAGTTTGATATTTAAATTCACAATACTTTAGCATGATAAATTTATATATAAAAGAATGTATTTCACTTTAAGAAAATTAATAATAAAAAATTTTTCAATAATATTTTCTTTAGAGTTTTTCTTGACTATCCTTAGAAGTTTTGACTCCTTACTTTTGCTTGAAAATTTTAACAAAGCGGCGAGCTACATCAAATTAGTTGGTAAGCACAGATTAAAAGCACATACTCTGAGAAGTATTTCAAAGAGTATTTCAAAGAGTATATATATATATATATTCTTTATATAGTTGTTATAATCATATGAACCGACTCTTTGAAATACCTCTTAGTATGTTGACAAATATGATCATCAATTTATCTAAATAAGCTAGAACTTACTTTGAAAATAAATCATACATTGTTTTGCATGTTTTCTTATTATAAAATCACATGAAAGTCTTTGACCTGATGGTTTTGTAATGGTTTGATTTTATGGCTGACAAAAAATTAAATAAAGGTGATAAATATAAATTCATACATCATATACGTAAAGAATCAAAACTATATACATAAAAAAAACTGCGAAAAACTTTCATTGTATAATGAAATCATTACAACATATTGCTTAAGATTTTGAATAGCAAATTTATTAATAAGTTACAAAAAATCAACATCAACTCAAGTTTCGATTCATGTCACAAACAGAGTGACATTTTGAAGGTTGCATTTTTAGAGGTCAGGTTAAAAATTAAGAATAAGATAGTCGAGATAATTTTGTTAATTGATTAACATGTTGGCTTTATATTATGAGGGTATAGATGTAGTGGTTTTACAAAAACACTTCTTCAAATATTTGATATACATAATACCCCTCCTAATACTTTGAAAAAATGTTTTTTTTTTTTTTTTTTTTCTAAAATGCATTCTTCTTATTAAGATGTATACTATCATGCAAATGTAATCATATTTTTCAACCTACAAATAAATGTTATCTTATGATCTCACCAATACAATATATATATATATATATATTATATATATATACATTTAAAAATTTAATTAGAACGATTTAAAATTGAGCTCATGTAAACTAAGTTTTTTAAAGTCTCTCTACAATTTCTAATTTATGTAAGAAAATTGGCTAATTATATACATTTATTGAATGTGTAATCATATCAATCATGACATTTCATATTTCAAGAGGTACATGATTCAGAGATTTCTCGTGATTCTAAAACTTGGGCCAAAAGGGTCAGGTGAAAAGTAAATTTCAATCCGCAGTTTTTATTTTTGGGCTATTTTTAGGTTATTTTGATATTATTGAAAATAACACTGAAATAATTTAAAAATAACTCAGAAATAACCTCTGCCGCACGTAGAGCTACGTCAGGAGTCCGCACAGAAAAATTTTTGTTGGAACTGACGGTTAATTGGTGAAACATTTCTAATTTTGATGTGCCAATTTATTTATATACATTTGTACCATATAATTCTTATGGATTTACATATCTGACATTTAAATTTTGATTTTTATATTTATAACGTTTTGGGGCTCTAAATCAATGCATGAAAAGATGCATTTGACTTCAAAAAAAATTAATAAAATGATATTTCTTATGTGATGTTTAAAATGGGTGTTACGAACATAATTATTAAAATTTAGGTGTTTGACATGTAAATACGTGATGATTGTATGGTATGTTTGTAATGTTTTTAGGTTCTCTTTCTTTTTTATTTGTTCTCTTTCTTTTTTATTTTTATATTTTTATTTTTTTTTTTTTGGTCTAATGGTCGCACAAAAAATATAATTGAAATATCATGTACCTAGTTTTTAATTTAGAATTATATTCAAATATTCAAAAATAAATTCATTATATTCAAATAATGGCCACCCACTCCCCCCATCCTTACTTTGATGCTCAATACTTACAAAATAATAATAAAAAGAGACAAGAAGATATTTAATGATTTTACCGTCCCAAAAAATACCATGACATAAAAAAATTGAATATATAAGTACATAAATAAAAAATTTTGTGTTAGACATATAAAAATGAAGGAGTTATTAGGTATTATTACGAATTGTGTGGTACATATGTATACATCAGACACTTCAACACGAATCTCGAGAAGATCCGATGGATTAGGAGATATAAGTACTACAAGGAAGGCCCACTAGCAGAAGATCGATGGTATACAGACGAAAGGTTAAGGTCTACAGATGGAAAATCAAGGGTCTGCTGTTAGGACCAAATGACCCACTAGCGGAAGACCAATGAATCCATTTGACAAAGCTCAATCTCCTAAATAGGAGCCAGAAGCCAATCGAATACCAACCATTTAGACCAAAGACGGAAGCTAACCAAATGGAGTAAAGGAATCAACCTATCTCTCCCTAAGATTTTGTAGATGCCCTTTGGGATCCTATGATCGACAAAGAATAATTTCAAGATAATCTCGAGGTACTCCCTCGTCGGAGGGTCAGGTATCTATCAGATTATGATGATTCATCCTTAATCCATGGCCTACTCTCATCCCACTAATTGAAACTCCTAATATAGGGATCAAAAGTCAACAATCAAAGCAGGATAAACGGTCAGAATAACTGAGAATACCGAAACAAATCACGCCGACCAAAAGTCTGTCTAGAGTCGACCAAGAGAATCCACCCAACAGGAGCGACCTGGCTGAACCGTAGGCTTATGATTATAACATTACCAAAATACCCCAATAACTCCTTTAAAACAGGGGCAAGCACATAAGTATACACATTATACCATAGCCATTTATTAGTATAAAGATCCTTTCCTTGGAAAAAGCTAATCTTGACATCACTTTTGATGTCGTATCTTAGGGGTGTCCGCTTGAATGTTACAAGACTGTGTTCATCGTTGACTGAAGATACAAGGGCAAGCATAAAATCAAGATCAGTACTGATATAGCCTCACTTGAGGGAGCTCATCGTTGACTGATGATAACTTTGACATGGGCTGTATTTAATGCCCATTTGGATGTTTAGAGACCATACTCCATCTATTTAGAACCTCTAGTGGTCAAAGATAGTCGCATAATTCTCCTATGGGCATTTCGAGAAAATCGAGTTCAAACAAGCCCACCTGTGTTGGGGTATTGAATGTTTGTCGACACTAAAATCCCCAATTCAAAACTTTGAGAATGTTCCTCTCTGATTTATGGGATTGTGTTTTAATGATACATGGTTTATCATAGCTTTTGGATCAATAAGAACCTTTATGCAGACATCTAGGTGCAAATTTGAAATTTTAACAGTTGGGGTCGTACTCAGCCCCAGTCAACGATTTTCGTCTGATACGACACACCTTTGATTTCCGCCCAGATGTGAGAGAGCCTATTTTCATTCTTGAATATTCTTCGGAGTTCCAGAGATCCATAGGAATCCTCTACACAAAGCCTCAACGAAGAAGGGAAGAAAAGAAAAAAAAATTATGTAGAAGGCAGTGGCACTTAGGGCTGTCAAAACGGCTCATTGTTCGCTAACAGCTCGTGTTCGGATCGTTAAGAAGCTCATGTTCGGCTCGTTAATTTCGTTCGATAAATTAACGAGTTGAACACGAACTAAGATGTGTTCGTTCGTGTTCGGCTCGTTTTGGCTCGAAATACTACTCATCAAGTTTATATATATATATATATATAAAGTAGTGTTTTAACACTTTTTGAGCTTGAAATATATGGCTCGCTCGTGTTCTGCTCGTTTACACCCCTAAGTGGCACCTAAGCACCACCCCATGGCACTTATGCGCCTAACATGAGCTCTGAACAGAGGAGGGGATTCATATGTGCCCACCTTTTGGAGGCTTAGGCTCCCAAGCTTGATTTAGTCCCTCCTTGTGCCAAACTGAGAGGGGGCATTTAGGCACTCTTGCAGAATTGCATCACGGGAAGCCAAAATTGAGGGAGATCATTGTTCATTACCTGGAGGATACGAAGCTCTTTTACCAAATATGGGAGCAAGCCAAAAGGAGAAAATTTTACCATTTTTGGATGAAAATTCATCGGAGAAATGACAAGGCGGCATCAATCCAGTGGTATTTGCTAGAGAAGCATGGTTGGATATGCAACATCATGAGGATGGCTAGGGATCGCCATTCTCATTCGGGAAAAGCTAGGGAGAGCTGTGAAAAGAGCATAAGAGAATTCTTGAGAGGTTTTGAAAGATTTGGTGAGGAATTTCTTCCCTTTTCTCTTTTCTCTACTTTATCATCTACATTTTATTCATTTGTTTCTTCCTCCTGATCGCCTCCTTTGCCAGTTGTGGCCGCTCATTTTTGCCTTTGCCACCAGTCTTCATTTTGACAATGGTGGGGCGCAGACTGAAAGCCCTTCTCATTTTCATTTAATTCTTTTATTCTTATTAGAGTTGTTGGTTTCAAAGAGTAAGAGAATCTAGAAACTAAAATATGCATATTTGAAACACAACAACATGAATCTCGAGAAGTTCCAACGAACTAATAGACGGAAGTATGACAAGGATGGCCCAGCAGCGGAAAATCAGAAGTCTGTAGATGGAAGATCAAGAGTCCATAGGCGAAAAATCAAGTGTCCACAGACGGAACCAAAAGCCTCGCTAACAGAAGACAAATAAATCCATTTGATCGAGCCCAACTTTTTGAATAGGAGCCAGAAGCCTCTTTGATATCAACCATCTAGATCAAAGGCTGAAGCCAACCAAATCGAGCAGAGGCATCAACCAGCCTCTCGTTAAGATCTCGTGTATAGAGCCTAGGATCCACAACAACTAGATCCGACAATATCCGGAGGGGCTCCCTCATCGGAGGTAAGTTTTCCATCAGATTACGGTGATTCATCATTCCACCGATGGTCTAGCCTCATCCCACCAATCGAAGATCCTTATCTAGGAATCAAAAGTCAACAATTGGAGCAGGATACTCGGCCAAAGATATTGAGACAATCGATCCAAAACTTGTCGCCCCAAAGCAAGTCTAGGGACTATCGAGAGAATCGACCCAGCTTAGTCGAACGAGCAGCTTTTGTTAAATGGTATATCTATGTTCATAAAATTGATGAAATACCCTTGTAACTCTCACATTAAAGCAGGAGCAGTCAAATAATTATAAATATATTATATATTATATATTTATAAATAAGAGATCATTTTATCTGAAAAGACTAATCAATATATAAAGATTTGGAGCTTTGAAATAATTCTCTTACCTTAATTTACCTGAATGAAAAACCTACGGCTCAGCTGCGCCCAAACAATATCAGAAGATTCAAAACTCTCTCTCTCTCCCTCGCTAAGGGCCACCGTCCATTAACGCACTAGCCCTCCACTCCGAAGGCAGGGCACTCCTAGGTGAAGTGCAGCCCACCAACGCACGTGCGCATTATCACCGCTTCTGTAGTAATGTCCAGATCCCCTCCTTGGCACAAACACCGAACATACCCGTACGTGACTGGTAAACATTAAATTTCAATTAAAAGTAAATCAAACACAAATAACTTCCTATTTAATTATATTTAATTCATTTTAACTGAAAATAAAAAAAAAAGTTATATTCTATATATTTATGCTAAATTTAAATCATAATAATTCATGCAATAATTATATAATTCTTTTAAAGGTGTACACTACTTGAATAAATCAATAAAATTCTACCAATTTATTGATTTGGTTTAATTTTTAAAATAATACTTCATATTATAATTTTAAATTTTGCATATTTTGTTTTATGATTTAAGCATTTAATGTTCTATTTTTTTTTTTTAAATCGAATTGATCGAAAAACACGTTTATATTTGCAGAACCGCAACGGAAGAGGCGAGTGAGTTGTGATTAACAATTATTTTTATTAATGTCATTGCATTTATATGTGCTTTCTTATTTTTAATATATCAAAAATTAAATTTTGATTTATGTAACACCGAAGGAGCAAACTGAATTAAAATTCAATTTCATCCAAATTTAAATGTAACATCTTATATCTATTTTTTTAATTAATTTTAATGAAAGAATTTCGAGCCGAACCCACCCAAATTTGTATAACATTAACCACCAAATAAAAGCACAAATAACCGAAATAAAATAAAATTAAGGGAATTCAAATAAATTACTTTCTTAAAAAAAAACACATCTACTTTATATCGGATCATCCTCAGGCACGTTACAAAGTTCAGGAGGATTCTTCGGCACCGCCGGCGGAGGCGGACGCCGCCGATGATCCCCTCCCTTTTCTTCTGAGTTGACCGACGACTGCTTCTCGCCGTCGCCTACATCGCCGTAACGCGTAGAGCCGCTCCTCAACCGCCGTCGCTCGCCGTCGAAGCCGCCGGCGTTCCCCTCCTCCGAGCGGCTTTTAACCGCCGCTACGTGCACCGGAAGTACGCATTTGCAGAAAAACCCTATTCAATCGGAGAAGAATACCAGATTCGCAATCAGAAGAGGAACAAAATTGAAATCGAAATCGAAAGCCTAATCGGGGATTCGAGTCGATTTGAGATAAACTATGGAAAGGATACCGAGATTCGCGAGGCGATTGACCCAGCTGGGTATGGCATTGCCGGTCAGGCGAATGCACACGTCGTTGCAGAAATGATTGCAGTTCTTGGAGATGAGATTGTAGGTATCACCGGTGTAGCTCCCGGCGAGCTCCTCCATCAGATCCTGCACCTCTTCCGGCCCTAAATCCGTCCCCCCAACCAAAATCGATTTTCGGAACACGAACCCAGGGCACGATCGCGGCTCCGCATCGAAGATTCCCGTGGTTGGATGATCGTGCGCCCCGTATGCGTACTCCACTCCGTGCACTGCAAAACCTTAACCCCCAAATCAATCGATCCGTCGGAAAAGCATTCGAAATCCCACCCTGATCAAATCGATTCGGGGAAGAAGTAGAAGTAGAAGTTGGACGGATCTGACCTTGAACACCGGAATGGTAGACACCGAGACCGAACCAGTAAGCGTACCCGTTGATGGGTGTGAGATCGTAGACGTTGAGGTAAACCGGCACCGCCCCCGTCTTCCGCTTCCAGACGGAGGGGCACCGGATGAACATGTTGGCGGCGGATTAGGCGATCTCCGGCGGCGGCGGCGAGGAAGGCATCGGTTTGAATTCCGATGACTATTACGTTTCTTTCTCTGATTAATGGGGGCGAATTTGAAGTCAAATGGCTGAGGAGATGAGGAGATTAAAGAGAAGAAGGAGAAGAAGAGAAATCCATGCGCTCTCTTTATTGCTCTACTAATTCTTTAACAGGGATGGCGCCAGTTACAGTATAAAGATGCCATGAGTGAGCTTGCCGTACCTGTAACTGCAAGTAACTCATCAGAAAATGTCGGCCGTTCGCTTTGCTGCACTTTAAACGACGGCCTGCCGTTCGATCATCACGATTTTCTTATGAGGATTCTTACCAATCAGCACACGGCTTTTCATTTCTAATATATATATCAAACCTAATTTTTATTGTTTATTTATATAATATTTAATTTTTTAACTATTACATTATAAAGTATTATGAATACCAATTTTTTAATATAAATATATTTTGTTATGGTTCCGAAATTAAAAAATATATGTCAATAGATATTTGCTAGAAAATTTGTGGCGACATAATAATGAATTATAATTTTAGTATTGCATGAAAATTTAACACACATTCAGATAAAAGAAAATAATTCATAGAGATATTGAAAGTTTTTACATGGAAAACTCATAAAAAGAAAGAACCATTGAGTATAACCAGCTGAAGAAACCCACTATAAAATGTATATTATATCTACAATCTCTCATCTCACAGGCGGGAAAGGGTTGAACATATTTCAGAGTTACAATGTCGGTGAACAAATTAACTTATAAGAATTAGGTGGCGGTCTATGGTGATCAGCGACAACCGGCGAGAGATTATCGACGGTGGTCGATGAAAGTCGGAGGTGGTCGACTACGGCAAAAGTGAGGCTGGGCTTCAGCTCCTCTAAGCTTGATGCTCTTCTTCATACTTCAAGCTCTCATTCTCCCTCATGAGAGAGGTGATGCTCTATTTATAGAGCTTTAGATGCACTTAATACATGAATATGAATCACTTTGATCAGATGGTCCAGAGTGATTTTTTTTTATCATACGATGCTTGATGGACTTTGAGTGTCTTAATGATGTCAAAATTGAATGATCTTGAGCTCGTTATATTTGTCTTGTCGAGACGTTTGATTTAGCTATAAGCTCATCAGATTTGACGTTTGTTTAACCTTCGAAATATGCCCCGAAAGCTTTGAAAATTGATTTAATGGTTTGATATGAGCTTGATATGACTTGAATTTGATTAATTTTAGTACCATCGGGTCCTTCTCATCGAGTTGGTCAGTTTGACCATAATTTGTTGAAATCGAAACTTCAAATGACTTTTAATTGAAGTTTAAATATTTCTTGCTCAAAAGATAGTTTTGAGATCCATGTCATATCTCGAGATTCGTGTTGGATACCTCGAGATTCATGCCGGATGATGGAGATATATCATAAATATATAAAATTTATCTAATATATAAATATTTTTTTTCTCTTAATGATGAACTATATAAATCTTAAAATACTCTCGGATTTGCCATTAACCATGACATTTAAACAAATTAGCCACGAGTTTTTTTACAAAGCATTTATGAACACAATTTGAGACACTCATATCATAATGTATTTACATATCTAACATTTAAAAATTAATATTTATTTTTGTTATATACTATAAAATTCTCAGCGATAAAGAACACTTATGTCTTAGCATAGTGTAAATTTCCAGCAGATAAACACAAATAGAAATGTAAGAGAATGATGCTTTGAAGCTTGGAAGGGGAAAAAATAGTAAGGCTTGGCTCGGTCAATACAATGAGCCAGAAAATTGAAAGTACATATTTATCCTTCTTTTGAATAGAGAAGATAAAATTATAAAAAATGACGATCATAATTTTATAAGATAGTTTAATTATAACAATCATAATTGAGTTATAAGAACTGTAGTCAGTGGCTACAATAACTATGATTAGCTACAAAAGTCATAGTTGATGGTTAAGACAATCATAGATGGCCGCAACAATTGCTAGTGGTATTCGAAGAAGATCCATGGTTGTCGACAATAAAATATGGCGGTCGGCCACGATATCAGGTAATGATGACAGCTGTTGGAACTTCAAGAGTTAAACTTTAGTAGCCAGCTCCTCATTTTCTCCTATTCAAGTAAGGAATTGGGTCATAATTACAATTTCTAAAATTGGTGTTTTAAAGATGAAGTATTTCTTGTATGAACTTTTGTTCACATAGCCCATGTTGTCTTTTGTTTTTTAGAAGAGACATTGTTGGTAGTATTATCCTAATTAATGAGATTATTCAGAGATTATATTGTTCCACTCATCCTACTACTTTTTGTTTATAGATTGATTTTAATAAAGTTTTTGACATGGTAGACAAAAATGTTTCTTTATAATCAAATGGATGCTTTGGTTTATCATTCAATTTATTAAAGGTTATTCACTTTCAAATCTCTCCTTATTTATTATGATCACCCGACCGATGTCTTTGTTTTTTTCGTGTTAGGTTTGTGGCATTTTCATCTGCATTATAGATGAATCAATGCTCCACATTTTTTCATGTGAAAGCAGTAGTCCTTTGCACTTCCCATGTCTAGCTTCAAATGTTGTTGACCCTGCAACACTTGCGATTCAATAATTTTGAATAGAATTTTCTTTGGAGGCGGTAGGTTTTATTGAGCTCGTATACCACAAATGGAACAAATGCTGGAGCGGAGAGGAGCCCACGAGCGGAGTGGAGCGGAATGATCTGTCCAATCGGGGGAGTTTTATTATGTGGGCAACACCTCGCGGTTTAGTACAAGGGTAATTTAAGTAATTACATATTGTACTATAAGGTTATATATATGTCCTGGTTGTAACCCTAGACGACTCTCTGAGTCTATGAGATTCCGAGAGTTGAACATTGTATTTTGTACTCTTTTCTTAATATTGAAAAGGAAGCGGCTGCTCTGCTCCTAAAGATGTAGACACATTTGTCAAACATCGTAAATCTCTTTGTCTTCTTCTGGATTTTTGACGATTACTATTTTCCTTCGCTCTAATTTCTCAACAAGCAAGTTGATTAGTTTTGTGACTTTCACATTCTTTTTGTTCATTTCATACCTACAGAGCTTTAAATTTTACACTTTACAAATGTTTTCAATTTTTACCTCCTTTAGGAGCTCGTAATTGTTATTTAATCTAATAAAAACTGAACGCGACTCTCTCATTTTTTCCAAAAAAAAAAAGTAAAAATAATTGGAAAATTTAAAGCATTCCACATAATTCCAATATATTGATATATCTCATCTAAAATTGTATATTTATATTTAGGAACATTTACATGAGTATCATCAAATTCTTATATATTTTTTATCAAACACTTATATTCTTCTTTTTACATTTATGCTATCCAAATCTTCTATATCACATCAAAAATGTCATTATTTTAATTTTTAATAATTAAAATACACCTTTTAAAATATAAGTAAGCCAACACACACACACATAGGTATATATATATAAATGTAATTCACTTTTAAAAAAATTAATAATAGTTGCTTTTTTTTCATGCAACATTAAGTATTTTAGTGCTATGCATGTAAATATGAAATTTAGGTGTTATATATGTAAATATATAGGAGTTTGCGGTATGTATGTAAAAGAGCCAAAATAATTTAGTTGAAATTACTTTTTATTTACTGATTTAATTTCGTCAAACGAGAATTGACTGAAAAAAAATAAAAAACTATTATATCTATAATTAATCACAACTAATATTTTAACTTTTTGTTAAAAGTTTCTGCCCATTTTTCATTAAATTTAAATGTGCAATAAATGTCAGAGTAAAAAATATCTCAATAATGGAAAATTGTTTTCTTAATATATTTTTTATTTATTTGAGAAATAATCCCCTAAATATTTAATTAGAAAATGCAATATTACCACAGCTTAAACCATATTTGTAATTTCATTTCAGTAAAAAATTTCTTAAAAATACATGTATAAAAATATAATCACATACTTTACATTATCAATTACACATCATGCAAAAATAATTTATCTAATTACATTTTTTGTGACATTTAATCATCAATAATATTAATTACATACATACCACACAAATCTTATAAATTTGCATATCTATACTATTAATAACTTCTTCAAAAGTAAACTATAAATTTCCATGCATGGTATTATAACACGAAAGTAAAATAAATATAAATATTAAATTTTAGGTGTTAGATATGTAAATACATAAGAATTGTGGGGCATGCATGTAAATTTCCCTAAAAAATAAAAGCATATACACCACTTTCTACATAATAAGACATGCATTAGGGTTTTCATCACTAAACAAAAAGAAATATTCGTCATGGTTATTTTCACTAAGGTCCTCAAAAACAATAATATTATCCATTTTCACCTCATTCAAATCCTCACCTTTTTTACTTACCAAAATCTCTTCTTCTACCGTTAGAATCTCTGCCTTCTTGCCTGCTTTCTTTCTGAGCTTCTTCACAATTTTTTCTGGCTTTATTTGACCGATTACGACGGCCTTGTTGCCATCCATGTCAACTTTGACCTCCTCAACCCCTAATTAAAATTAAATTTTTATAGGGCATAAATGTAATTTACAAAAGCTGAAATATAATTAATAAAGTTTAGCAAACATTTATCGCACCTTTCATTTTTCTTAGGGTCATGAACACCAGACTTTCACAGCCTTTGCAGTGCATGTAAACCTTCAATTCCAGAGTGAGCTTCTAATTGCAAAATTGGAATATGTTGTGTTAGTTCAAATCTTATTGAAATAAATATGTAATTTGCACACGGGACCCCTCTCTCTCTCTCGGACATGTAAAAAATTATATTCGTGCTATTTCGACTTTGTATGAGTTAATTTTAGTGAAGATCGTGGAGTTTTATAAATAAATATGAGGATATTGGCAGATGAGATGGTGGTCTGGTGGTTGGGCATTTCCTCCCTAGCTGAAATGTCTAGTGCTCGAAGTAAAAGACATAAGTACGTGAATTGAAAGAAACTCTATGGTATGTATGTAATCATAAGTTTATTTATTGTGCAGGAGGGAATTATCAATAATAAATAAATTAGAATTATCAGAAATAAAAAAAAATTAAAATAAATATATAATAAAATCAAAATAAAAGATTTATAGAAATAGGAAGGATAAAAATATATCTAGAAGATGGATATCTAAATTTAATTTCAAAGAAAAAGAAAGAAAATAATGTGAAATCAATATAATGTGGATAAAAGTAATGGATTAGAGGAAGAAAAAATAGTGAAGATGATGAAATAAGACGAATATATATAAAAAATAAATAGGATATAATAATACAAACCTTTTTCCAACATTTTTTCTTCTGAGTCATCGAAGCCATAACAAAGAATATTTCTTTATTTGTTCATCCTGCGAAGGCCTTTCTCCCTCTGTGGGAGAGCAGAAAAATAAAATTAAAAAAAAAAAGCTTGATTAATTTTAATGAAATATATGTTAATTAAAATTATTATATTTATTACAAATTCATCTATTTTTATTATTATTTTTTTTTAAGAAAAAAAAAGCAACGGTAGGGAGGTAATTTTGGATTCTGTATTATTTTGCACCTCACATTTCACATGGTTTGGTAAACAAAGAGTTATTTGTAGTCATTAATATTTTTAGGAGATGGATTGATTAGTGTATGGTAAGCACACGGCACGCGGCACACGCCGTATATAGAAGGTGCAAATATTACATGCGGCGACAATAAGTCGGGACAACAGTTGGTATGGCTGTCGTCCGATTGTGTCGTTCGCCACACATAATATTTTCTCATATACAAGAGCGTTTGTGAAAAAAAGAAAAAGAGAGAGCACGAACAGTGGATAGCCACAAAATGTAATACGAACGAGTTATAAATGAAAAAAGATTTCAAAATTATATAACGATGGTTGATAATGACACGTACGAGCATAAGAATATTTCCTCCTAAAAAAACAAGAAAATTTCTTTATATATATTTAGGATTTAGAAAGCCTAATAAATTAGGATTTATCAAATCGAAATATTATTAAATCCGAAATAATATTTGGTTGACTCAACATAAATCAAGTTAAATTCATTTTGACGTGTTTGTATTTTAATTAAAGGATGCCATGAACAGGTTAAGTTGCATATGTATACTTTAAATTTAAGTTATATTGTTTTTAAACTTTTGACATTTTTTATTTTTAATTTTGGACATTTACATGCGTACCATGTAATTTTTATGTATTTACATATCTAACATCTAAATATTCATATATGCATGCATAACAATCAAATCTATGGCATCACATGAAAAATATCACCATGACTATATTTGTAGGAGTGAAATAGGCCTTTTTAATCCATAAGTTTACGGCACCAAGGTGCTATACATAAACATTATGTTCCCTATTAATTTATGTGCTGATAAGCCTACCACAAGGAGTGAGATATTCTGTACTTTGTTCCAGATAGGTGCATTTGTAATCGATCACAAGAATATGATAATTTCGCTTATATATATATATATATAAACAAGTGTGCTTAGACCAATAGAAAGATTTAGCTTAATTGCATATGTACTTATAATCTGTACTCTCATCTCCATGTTTTTATCTACATGATTACATAACTTTTATGTTGGATTATTTTTTTATTTTTTTTATTTTTTTATGAAGGAATGACCGGAGGCTATTATACGAGTCCCAATCATCCCTCATGCGCCTACGAATTTGAGTACCACACTTTACACTCGGTGGAAATTGAACCCTGAACCAGAGGAGATGTACAATGATAAGCAAATATTTGACCAACTGATCTGAGTACGCGGCACTACGTTTGAATTTGTCAAGTATTCTTAATCATTATGATTAACATGTCAACTGCTCTCTCTTAAGATATCATTATTTTCTTATTTGAACTAGTGCAATGTATTCATCATCTATAAACATAGATATAGTTCAATTGATCACAAGTAGCTAGATCATTCATTCAAAACAAATAAATAATTGACTATATTATTTATTGTTAATAAATTTGTCTATTTATAGTTTATTAGTATATTTTTCATATTATTTTCAACATAGACCATATCAACTTGCATTATTTATCATATATTTTTGCACATAAATATAGTAATTAAATGTTAGCTATTATTTAACCATTCACTAATAAAAGTAAATTTAGGACCTAAATTATGTGGGTTTTGCTTGTCTTATAAAAAAAAAATTATGAGCACACAAATTGAAATCTAAAGAGAAAACACATAGCACGATTAATCTTATAATAGTCTTTACATTGTAATAAATGCGCTCTTACATGCATACCGTACAATTATTATAAATTTATATACTCAACACCCAAACATTCACATTTGCATATATATATATATATATATATATATATATAAAATAAAATCCGATTTACTCGCGCGCGGCGACATAACAAAATGAGTGTCCTCCCTG